CTCTCTGGAAGCCTGTACAGTCTTGTCCTTATTCCCGTCTTCCAGGTCCGTGGTGCGGGTGTGGGGGATCTGTTTTCACGTGCCGTGCTGGACGCGTGCTGAGCTCCGTCATGCCTTCCATTCCTGGCAAACATGTCGCTGGTGATTTCTTCCACTTCGGTGTCTCTGTTCTCTTTGTGGAACTCGTCTTTGTCATACACTGGGATTGATCTAATTTTCTTGCCTACTTTTTTTTCTTTTCGTCTTCTCATTCTACTTTTTCTTCCAGCCCTTCTGTCGACATTTTAATTTTGACTCTCAGGTATTTAATTTCCAAGGATTCCTTCTGGTTCTTCAAATGTTCCTTTCAAAAACCATACTTAAACTTGTTTCCTGGGCTTCTGTGTCTGCTCTCAGCTCTCTGAAGATGCTATACATAGGGGCTTTTCTAGAACTGCTTTTTTTCTGATCTTTTTCTCTCTCCCTGTTTGGGTTTCAGTCTCTTCATCGCTACCATTTCTGAGGGGAGTGCTACAGAGCTGACAGGAAGCTCCTCGCCATGGGCGGTGTGGCTTCACGTGGGGGTGACGATGGGGGTCCTGAGCACTATAGGGGAGCCCCCGAAGATGAGCTGCACCTGCAAGGCTTTTCTCATAGCGTGGTGGCACTCCAGAAGCCGAGACAGGAACGTCATTTGGGGTCACCGTCCTGTGTGACTTTCCCGTTAACCACTGGCTCCCGCCCTCACAGCTGCCATCCACTGTGCCCTCGTCCTAAGGCTGAACTTTTCTGTGCAGCAAGCATTAAAAATGCATTTTATTACTGAGTTCTCCCTGCATCTCTGCAAGCTTGGCGCTATTTGTTTTAATCCAATTTTATAGAGGCTAATCAGGGTACATTCTTTTGGTGGAATATTATGCAACTATGAAAAATGACATCTCTTGGGCTACAGAGTAGCCACAATAAGTCTGGCTTATGTCACTGAGCATAACGTCCTCCAGGTTCGTCCACGTTGTAGCCTGTGTCAGAATCTCCTTCTGTCCGAAGGCTGGATAATATCACTGTCTGGGATGGACCGTGTTGTGTTTATCCACATTGTGTGTCATCATGTCTAAGTGATGAACAATGCTGCTACGAACATGGGTAGAAAAGTATCTCCTTCTCGGCACGTTTTATTTCTCAGAACTTGGGCAACGAACAAGGCGCTACGGCCCCCACCCCTACCCCACCCCCACCTGCCTTTTCCACCTAGAGGAGAAATGGTCCTCTGGTCCTCTCCCGGGTCAGCTGCTTGGCCTAATCTACTCACCTGAAACATCTCAGTAACCAAACTAGTAACAGGCGACCGGGAAGAAGATGGACACATTTCCCCAGTGAAGCCACTGAAGCCGGCCGAACTTTGGAGATGCTCCCTCCACCCGAGTGTGACTTATTTTGGAGCAGGGGTCACAGGGCGTGTGAGTGGCTATCTTTCTGTGTTATCGGTGACTTTGCAGATGGAGGATCTACCCTTCCATTTTTGTCTTCCCTAGACTGCCTGCCAGGTTGGGCTCCAGCCCTGCCCACACGCCCCACGTCATCTCCCCCACACTCACCGCTGTCGCCTAGCAACTGGGCTTGCAGGCCAGCATCCTGCAGGCTGAGGGCCCACGTCTCAGGGAGCTTCTCCCCCTTGAAGCAGTCTGGTTTCTCTAGTGCCTGGTCTGGTATCTTCCTGCCAGCCTGCCCTGGGGTTCTCTGCCCGGTGGGGAGAGGGCTGGAGAGGAAAGATCAGAAGCGACCGCTCTTTAGGCTTTGAGTGAGCCCGGTTGCCCAGACGTTTCATCCATCTGGACCGAATGCATCACTAACCGACTGCTTGATTTTGCTGTCGCGTTGCCTAAACTCGGTTTTTTGGAGTTGCTAGAGGGGCAGATTTAAGTCCCTGTCACCAGAATTAGTTTGAAACCACCTGGTGGTAGAGACAATACCCGTCTCCCCAGGAACCAGGACTGGCGGGTGATGTGGGTTCCAAGGGAGGATGTCAGTGTGCAAATGCTGTGTGCAGTTCACAGCCTCAGGGCACGGGCGTTCCCTGCAGGTGTGGCTGTCACTGTCACATCTGCTACCTCCTCGTCTGGAAGCAGACCCCGTCTCTCTTCATCACCCTGCCTCTGCCCTAGCGGAAGCCTCTCGCCCCAGCTGTTACAACGATCTCCCTGGATGAGACGGAGACAAATGGTGTCTTCCTACTACAAGGCAACTTCCTCGTGTGGACAGACGTGGCTTCGAGCCTTCAGCACACTTACTGAGCTACTGCTGTGCACCTGGTTGGTTCTAGACCCATGGATGTTGTGGTGGGTAAGGTAGATATACTTCTTGCCCACATCCTGGGAGGAAGGCAGATAACAAGGGATCTTAATCAGTGTGTGGTGTGAAGAAAATGAACAGGGTTATGTAGCACTTTGAGGTGGCCAAGGAGGCCTCTCTGAGGAGGGCACATCTGGGCTGAGACCGGAAGGAGAGGAGTCAGGGGAAGAGCTTACGGTACAGCACGTGCAAAGGCCCTGGGGCAGGAATGAGATTGGCTGGTCTGCCAACAGGCAGAAACTGAGCGATCTGAAGTGCAGTTATCGAGGGAGAGGGTGGCAGATGGGTTCTTATGGGGGCTCCACTGAGATTTGAGGTTTTATCCTGAGTCTTACCCAGAGCTCCTGCTGGTAGGGGGCTGAAGCAGCAGAGAGCCAATAAAAATGGAGAGCAGCAGAAGTGGGACGGACAGGACTTTTTGATGGCTTGGGCCTGAGCACAAAGGAACCCAGGGGGGCTTCCCATAGAGGGTGGTAACGGACAGCCTCAGTGGGCGGCTGGGTGAATGGCAGAGCCACCACGCAAGATGCAGAGGAGAGAGGGTGTGTGTGGGGGAAGCGCCCCATGTGTGGTGGAGGATGCCTGGACCCATCCCCTGGGTCCTGTCTGACTGTGGCCAGGACCAGAAGAGGGACTGGCTCTGCCCCCGGGTGCTGTCAGGATGCCTCGTAAGAGGCAGGGGAACTGCTCCCTCAGAAAGGAGCCTGAGGCAGAGGGAGCAAAGCGAGTGGCCTGCCCTCCCAGGGAGGTGGCAATCAGATGCACTGCCAGGCTGGGCGTCACTGCCTGAGGCGCCCACGCGCCCTGGGCCCGACTCTGAGAAGAGGCTCCTGACTGTCCTCTAGCTTGTGCTCTGTGCACACTGACATGTGCCACTTCTGCTGGGAGCCATTTCCACCTTGCCCCACCCTCCTAAAATGCCCCTGGAGGCTTGAAGCTCTCAGGGGCTCAGCTGGTGACCAGGTTCTCCATCTGAGTCTCCTATACCCTTGAAGTCTGTGATGAGGATTCGGGGAAATTGTAGAGAACTCTTGGTGGGGAGCCTGCAAGTGGGGAGCCATCCCCCAAACTCAGCTTGGCTGATACCTCCTCCAGGAAGCCTCCCAGGCCCCCGACCTTCCCGCTGATGGTCCCATCGTGTCTCCTGGAGCAGGCCAGGGCCATGTGTGAAGTGAGCACTCCTCGGGCTGGGTCCTGCACGGGGGTGGCTCCTCCGTATCCCCAGAGGACCTTGGTACAAGGACAGCCTGAGAGCGACCACCCTCGGGTCACAGCCCGTGCAGCACCTGCCCCGGGACCACCCTACCCACACTCGTTGGGGAGCAATGCCAGAGGGTGCAGTGCCCCTGCCTGGAGCCCTGAGCGGACGGCAGGAGAGCCCGGCAGGGTCGCCTGCATCCTGAGCGAAGGACTGCATGGCCCACACCGAAAGACAAGCGTATCTTGTTTATTCTCACCCCCTACACTCCCAGGTAGCTCTACAAAGACAGCAGACGTGAAGCCCCACGGAGGCTGTCCCTTAAACACAGACACGACATCGAAGGAAGCAAGTGGCTGCAGGCTGCGTTAGCACAAAGCGACTTTTCTTCTTCAGTGCCATTGGGAAGCCGGCCAAAAAGCTGGTCGCCAAAAAGGGAGGTTTGGACAGATCGGGGAGGGGGCGGAGCTAGGGGGTGCCCGACCCCGTGTCCTGCACCGGGCATAGCCCCCAGACCTGCTCCCAAGAGGCAAGCCCTGGACCCAGGTAGGCTGGACCTACGCGGGGCAGCTGGGGGAGTGGGGTCAGGCAAACCCTGGCCCTGAAGGGCTACTACAGAGTAGCCCCTCCCTCTCTGGGAGTGGAAGGTACTCCATGGTTAGGATGGGGGGTGTCCGGGTCCGGGCAGCCTGTCGGGTCACAGGCATTTCCAGGGGACCAGAGAAGCCCTCAGCCTGCATGTTTACCACCCCTGGCCCTGTCGCCCTCCCCACAGGGGGCAGGGAGAGCCCGGCTTAGGCCCTGTACACCTCTGGCTCAGGGGCTCTGTGTCTGGAACAAGCCAGGCCCAGGCATGTCCTTGGGCTTGGCCCCTGTTCCCAGCTCTCCCTGGCCCAACCCCGGAGCCAGTCTTCCAGACAAGGGCCCCAGACGGGCCTGCCCCCATGATTTCAAGTCCATGCACTTCTGGGGCGTCCACAGGAAGCAACTTAGAAACCCACACCCTCAGTAGCCCCGGGGCGAGTTTAAAGCTAGCGAAAGTGCCAGGGTTCAGGGTGCTGTGCCACACCTTCTACCCAGCACAGGGGGCACCTCGGGCTGTGCGCGCCATGCCACCCGGTGGTTCTTACCACCGGATGATGCAAATTCACCGATGATCTAAGCACAGGTGTTTTTATGGAAACCCACAGAACGTTACTGGAAAAGAGAACGCGATTGTCCAACGTTGGGGATGAAGCGGCCACTTGTGGTATGTCAGGTCCTGGTCGGGGAGGCCCGGCCAGTCACGGGGCCCCTCTCCGCCCCGCAGGCCTGCTTCCTCAAGCCTTCGCCCACCTCAGCCTGGCCCACCTCGCTCGGCCTCTTCCTGAAGTGCGCGCCAGGCCTGCTCTTGGGCGGCGGCAGAGGGTCCATGCCCAGAAGCTTGTGGGTCTGCCGGAACGCCAACATGCGCAGGGCGTGCTGTGGGCAGACGGCCGTCAGGACCCACCCACCCACGGCCCCCTCGCTGGGCCCATGGCCCGGTGCAGTCGTGGGCTCCCCAGGCATCCTGTCCTCGCTGCCGCCCTTCTAGCAAGTGCCAAGCCCAGTCACCCAGGGGCACGAAGAACCACCTGGGAATCCCTCGGGCTGGCAGACGGCCGTGTTCTGCCAGGAAGCCCCTTGGAACATGGGCGCTCTCCTGCCTCACTACAGGGACCCTAAGCCCTGTGTCCCCAAGTTCGGCTCTGGTCATGAGCAATATGATTCGTTCTGTGAAAGGCAGTTCCTAAATGTCAGGCCTAGTGTGGTTTCCATGCCACTAGGAGACGTTTTTATAAACTCACAAGAGGGACCACAGACAGGTGCTCTGCTCAGTGCTTGAGGCTGGCTGGCCATAAGCAGGGTGCCACAGAGCATGGGGCAGGGCGGTAGGGGGGACCGAGGATGGTCCCAGCCAGGGAGGCCCTAGGTCTGTGCCTCATCACAGTGGGGGTTTTGGCTCTGAGCCAGGCTGGCCTTTTCCCAGAAGCAGTCCTGTCACCCCTGGGCCACCCATCTCTGCAGAGGAGGGAAGGAAAACCCCAGACCATTTCCTGAGACGCTGCATAGCTGCAAACAGGCTAGGAGCCACCCACGGCCTGGCTGAGCTGGCCCCACGCAGGGAGCCACGGGGGCGGGCTGGCCTACCTGAGCGCTGGCTGTGATGTCTTCCCGCTCCTGGAGGGTCATGGACCCGAGCACATCCACCTGATCTCTCTCGCAGGGGTCCTGGAGCCCGGGCCCATCTTCGCAGAGGGAGGTGGGGGTGACAAGGGAAGACAGAGCACTCTTGTGAGAGCCTGCTACTGCTGGAGGTCTTGAGGGTCCAAGCGTGGGGTCCGGGCCTGCACCCCTTGACACCCACGGGCCACGCCCGGCCGGCACGTTCTCGACCAGCGCCAGGTCTCCTCTGGGGGCGTCTCACCTGAGTCAATCCTCTCTCCGTCCCCACATGCCCTCGGCAGAGCTTCTTCCTGCCGCTGTGTGTGCACGCACGCGCATGCACACACACGGGCACGCGGTTACGTGACGGGCCCACACCACAGGCCCGGCGCACTTCCTCTACTTTCGCTTAGTACGGTATCATTTTTTACCACTACAGTGCCTGGAAAATGCCGCCTTTGTGCACGTGAGGCCTGTCTTCCCTCTGCTACTGCACACCACACCGTGGCACATAACACGTTTTTGAGCGCCCCGTTACTTCCTTCGGGACAATTCCGACAAGGCCATCACCAGGGTGACAGCCCGGGCTTCCAGAGGGCTGGGCTGCTGTCAGAGAATGCATGCTGGGCTCACCGACAGGGCGGCCCCCCACCACCGGCCTCTCCATCTGCACCAGGACCCCCGCCTGCCATCCTTCGCAGCGAGTGCAGCCCACGGTCCCTCTGGGGACTTGTGTGTGCCCGGGCCCACCTCCTGTGTGCACTGGACGTTGGTGAGAGGCTCCTTCTGTACCCAGCTATGACCCTCAGTCTCTGCCAGGTGTCCCAGTGCTCTGGGCTCCCCAGCTGAAGGGGACTGACCTGTCAGGAGCGTCCCCGAGGCCACACACTCCAGGACCCGTCGCACAGCGTCCCCGGGGCTCAAGGGCCCCTTTGCACTGCTCAGAGCCTTCTCCACCAGTAGCTCCATGGCCTGGGCCACACGGGGACAGAAAAGGAGATGCTGTGCCTTCGAGCAAAGCACGTGGGCCAGCTTGCCTCCCACTGAGCTCTGCCAGGCTCGGATTGGGGTGACTAGGGGACCTCAGGACAGGAGGCCCCTCCCGGGATTTTCCCTACCTCCCACCCACCCTTGAACTTCTACAGAAGAGTGTGGTCACCGAAGCCCCGCCCCCTCCTGGCATGGCCATGGGCAGGCTTCCTTACTCTCTGATCCTTAGGTTCCCTATCAGCAAAATCCCATCAGTTGGAAGACTGCAAACCAGGGTTGCAAGGGTTAAAAGAAACATTCTCCGTGACCTATGGTGCATTTAGCCAGGGTCAGGATGACTGGTGACTTGCTCAGTTGTGTCCCCTCCTCCAAGCGGCCACCCTACCCGGGGAAGGTTGTGAGGGCGGGGCAAGGATGAGGACACGTGCTAGTGACTCTGCATGAGGCCAGCCACTGTGCTGTCCATGAGGGCTGGCACCGAGGGAACATCTCCCCTGGCCACTGGGCAGGAGGTGGAGGTCTGGGCGGGCAAGGACCCTTGGTTTCAGAGATGGCCCTCTTAGGCCAATGGTGGCCTGGGCCGGGGTGGGGGCGCTGCTTGTCCAGGGCCTGGGCCTTGGGCACGGCGGTGGGGGACGTGAACCGGCAGTGGAAGGCTGTGTACAGAACATGAACGTCCCTCAGTGTTCAGGGCGTCCAGGCCCCTTCCCGAGAATGACATGAAAAACTTCAGGCCTGCGGTCACCCTGCCCGTCACTGGATCGGTACGGGGACATGAGAGAGGGACCCACAGACTCAGAGACAGACATGTAGAGGGACAAAACGTAATCCCAGAGACAGGGTGGGGACCCCAGAGAGGGCAGGAGCTGGGGTCTCACAATGCGGCAGCTTGGGGGTCTGGAGGGCGTGGGGGCCCTTGCGTGTTCTCTTTTCTGCTCTGCCCCCCACCATGGGCTCCAGGTCCCACTGGCCAGGGAGTATCAGAGCCACAGACGAGGTGGGGGTGCACCAGGCCGCCCAGAGGCCTCTGCATTGACGTTGGGCATTTGGCCGGTGCCCTTGCCCTGGCATGCCACCTGCTTCTGTCTGCAAAGTTGTGGGTCTAAGAAAATACAGCCAAGTAAGGCTATGCTCCAGAGCAGGCCTCTCCCTGGTGCCAAGGGACCCCCAAGACACTCCTACTGAGATCTACGTCCTGGGCACTCAGGCTGGCGCTGGCTCCTCGCGGGAAAGCCAAGTGCTGGGAGGGAGAACGTCTGTCTGGGAGAAAGTAAGGCCTTTAGGGGCTGTGGAGGTCCTCAGTGGGCTCCCCAGAGCAAAGCCAGCCACTTGGCACTGCCTTACCCAGTCTGGCAGGGCCCTCCACGTGGGCACACGCTGGCAGAGGTCCCGAAAAATCCTGATGACAAGCACACAGGGGTGCAGGCCGCTGGCTCGTGCCTTTGGGGCAAGAAATGCACTGTTAGCTCTGAGCCACATGCATGTGGCTGAAAGGGTGTGTGTGTGTGAGGCCAAGGGGACAAGGGCTGACCCCAGGGATGGCGAACCGGGCCAGGGGTCCTGTCCTGGCAGTAGAGACCACGGAGGGACGCTGGGGGCATGGCTATCTGGCCTGGAGGTGGCTAGGAGTGGAGTCCATTCCCATATGTGCAAAGGCCAACAGAACCGGCCCTGCTCTGATTCTGACCCATCAGGAGACATGGGCTGAGCAGCTAGGCAAGCAAATGGCTGAGGGCACAGCCAGTAGGACAGATGTCGCCCCCCTCCCACCCCCTGACCTGGAACCACTTGGCATGGCGCAGGGCGGCCAGTGACTGGAGACACTTCTCCGGGCTCAAGATGTCCCTTGGGTCTGGTGGAGGATCTTCCGTTCCTTCTAGAAGAAAAGGATGCGTGGTGAGATGCGCCCTCCCACTCCACTCACTCCCTGGGCCACGCCCTTCAGTTCTCTAGGCGTCACTTTATTTATCTAAAATAACGAGGTTCTTCCCAGCTAGTCTTTCCTGCAGGACACGGCAGGGGCCAGAGAAGCCGCTTCTGTGAAAACCTTATCTCCTCTGAGCTTAGAGGAACAAGTTTAATGCTTGCTCTGAGCGCCTTCGGTGCTGACTCCCTTAGTTAGCGAATTACAGTGCTGATGGAAAACTATGAATTAAGCCAGATTTCCAGAAACTTCAGGGTGAATAATCAAAAGGGAGAAAGCAGGTCAGGTCTGAACACCTCCCATCATCGATAACAAAGGCCTTCCTTCGCGTCTGAGAGAAATTCAAGTTCATTTTTTCTTTCTTATTGTTTCAAGAATATTGTCATCTCATTCTAAGAGACCCTAGTTTACTTAGGTCCCGTGATAGAGCACAGGTTCTACTTCTGCCTATAAATATCTCTAGGATCTCATGCCTGTCACCTGCCTGTCACCGGGCTGAGATGAAAGTGGCAGGGGTGTGCCTGCAAAAAGGGGCAGAAGCTACCCTACCAACAACAGCCAGCCCAGTGTGAACACCTGAGTGAGGCAACATGTGACAGCTGACAGGCCCCTGGTGGTCACAGTCCTTTTCGTCCCTCCATTTGGCCTCCATCCAGCGGCTGTGGACCGTCACACTTCCTAATACCCTGGGCCCCCTATGCGTGTGTTTGAGCGAACCCTCATGGGGCGCTCAGCTGGAATTTCGTGGTGATGTTTTCTCCTCCCGTATTTGATTTTCTATGACTCGCCATTTCTGACAGCTGGTAATGGCTGTCCACTCATGGTCAAAGGTTCTCCTCTTTAAAAATGTAAGTATTAAAAATGAATTGGTTTAAAGAAAAATGTTAGTAGTTGGGGACCCTTAGCCATGACAAAAGAGCAGCCATGAAGGGGTTCGAGAATTACTGGAATTTGGATAACAGTCCTGAGGGCGGTTCTAGAAGGTTCCATGGCTCGATGAACCATGAGGTGCGTCCCTGCGGTGATGACTCCAGGCCCTCACTACCCTCCGGCCTGGCCCGACACCCCTTCCCCCTCTCTCAGGCACTGGCAGTGTGCCTCAAGCCCCCAAGCCCCCGAGTCCCACACCAGTGGCGCTGGAAGGAGCAGAATCTGCAGTGGCCTCTGCTATAGAAAGATGGACACTCTGGGTTCCCGTGGGTGGAGCGCAGGCGTCCGCACTGGCCAGGAGGCGAGGGAGGAGCGCGGTGCTGCGCACGCGAGGTGGCTACCAGGAGCGCGTACGGCCCGGCCGAGCCCATCTGACACTCCATCGCCAGCTCGTTTCCTCCACCGCCCCAAGGCCCAGCTCTCATCTGACCAGTGGCACAGGAACTGACAGAAGTGCCAGAAGGCCGCACCCCCCACCCCAGAGCAGAGTCAGAGGCTGCCCCAGGCCACCTGGGTGTGTGGGGAGGGGGCTTGGACAGAAGGACCTGGCCAAACCTCTGTCCGTGGAGGGGTCCTCCCGCATCAGGGGCGAGGTGACAGACACAGTGACCCGTATCCTGGGCTCCTCACTGGATAAGATGACGATGCTGGCTTCAGGGTCAGAGGACACCTCGTATTTGTCCTCCGTCACCATCTATGAGGTGCAAATACAACACAAGGCTGTGGTCCTCTGGCTGAGAGGCAGCTGCAAACAGCCACGACGTGCAGGTGGCAGGCCCCATGCCAGGCATCTGGTGCCTCCATAGGACTGAGTCACAGCCCAGCCCTCCAGGGATGCACGCCTGTAGAAATGAGTATAGACGATGGACCCTGCATACAAGGTGCTTTCATATGTAAAGAATGCCTTTAACTCAATAACAAGAACGGCAATCTGATTAAGAAACTGGTGAGTAATATAACAGATAATTGGCAGAAAAGGAAACAGAAGTGTCCCTTTTTATACAATGACACAGATTACTGCCACTGCCAGAGAGAAGCAAATTGAAACTATAACAAGGTACTATCATCACCTGTCTAGAAGGTGCTTTCATATGTAAAGAATGCCTTTAACTCAATAACAAGAACGGCAATCTGATTAAGAAACTGGTGAGTAATGTAACAGATAGTTGGCAGAAAAGGAAACAGAAGTGTCCCTTTTTATACAATGACACAGATTACTGCCACTGCCAGAGAGAAGCAAATTGAAACTATAACAAGGTACTATCATCACCTGTGAGGACAAAACTCTGGAAGTGTGAGGAGCAGCTGGGCTGGCAGCTTGTGCATCTGCAGACTGCTAGTGGAGGTTGCAGTCTTACCAGGAGCACCAGGCTTGTGCCTTTGACCCAGCAACCTAGATGTCCTCTGCCAGGACACACCCCCTCCACCGTCCTGTTGGACGTGGCCCCGCCTCCCCGTGCTCTCCGCCTGGCGTCAGGCTTTAACTCCCCGCCCGCCGGGAGATGCACTTTGGCTTGGTGTCTGTTGGACTGTGTCTGACAGGAGTGGGCGCCCAAGGGCGGGCCTGGGGCTGCCAGTCCCGGCTTGTGGAGGGACTCAGGAGCGGTGCTGGCTTCTCCCCGGGCAGCACCGGTCACATTGGGGAGACATCACCCTGGAGACTGACTTCTTTAACCTAAGACGAGCGGTTTAAATTCTGATGTGACCTCACTTTCCCCTCAGTTGTCACTTCGGGTCAGAAAAGTACTATGACCAGAGAGGAACAGCTCTAGAGGGGAGATCCCAGTCACCCTCCCACAGCGCTCACCAAGGGTCTCCATCTTGCCTCTCCTTTCTGGTCAGTGATGTCCCCCCCGCCCCTGGCCCCACCACACTACATGATGTTCATCATGTAGCCTTTTAAATGGCTGGCTAAAGGGTGGATGTACTGCAGTTACCATCCTCATGGGGGGACAGTCACACTGTTTCCGAGCTTTACCCTGAACTCACTTTATAAAGGAAGCCTCAAGTTGCCACCTCCCTCTCCTGGGAACTGTTTGTAAAACAAACCAGTTAGTAGCGAATGACCACGACCTCTCTGAAAATCCTGCGGATGCAAGGTCACCCCAGCCTCGGAGCCACAGGGGTTCCTGAGAGGGCTGGCAGCCCCCTAGAGGTGGCCTGCCCTTACCGACAGCTGCAGGGGCAGCTGCTCGGCGACCCTCCGCAGCAGTGCGTGGGTGGGCTTCTGGGAACAGAGCAGGATCAGCCGCACCGTCCTATCTCCCCGCAGGAGGAGGCCTTTCGCCAGGAGGCCGACCCGCATCACACCTTTCAGGATCCTAGTGGAGGGGCCGACATTGCTGTGGAGACAGAGCCACAAACGCACGTGTGAGGAGAGGGGCTGGGGAGAAAGGGAGCATGTGGCCCTACTCTGGGTCCCCAGCTCCTCTGCTCACAAGCTCCCGGAACGTCGGCAGCTTGCTGGGCCGGCTGGGCCTCAACTTCCTCATCTGGGAGATGGGCTCCTTCCGAGGCCCACTTCGCAGAGTACCTGATGAAAGGGGACGTGAGAAGATGTATCTGACAGCAGTGCTGGGGACACGACCGGCAAATCGCGCCCGCTCAGTAAGGGCCGGCAGTTGTCTCTTTCCTGATAAAATGCATTCTGAAAAAGGCCAAAGATGGCATCCCCATGGCCCCCGGTCCTCAGCCAGCCAGCGCTGCCCCTGGGATTGGGCACCTTCTGAATCTTCTCTGAGGTCATTTCTCTGCCCCTGCCCCTGACCGTCAGCTAGAAGACCGGTCCAGGTGCTCGGGCCACAGCTTCCTGATGGAGTCCCTGCTCCAGCCTCGGCCAGCTTTCTGCGGCGAATCTGATCATCGTATCTGCCTGATGCCCAGCCTCCCACCACCGGCCCTTTGCAGCAGGGGGACCCCCACGCTTCTTCCCTGGCCCAAGGCCCCCAGCCTGACCCCTTGGGCCTCCTTGCCGCCATCCTCACCCTCCACTCCCTCTGGGCCTTATGCTCTAGCCCCAAACACCTTCCTATATTCCTCTGGCCCCACAGGGCTCATCCCTCTGCTCAAGTCAGTGCCCTCACTTAACTGAGCTCTAGAGAAATGTCTCCTCTGCTCCAGAAACTGCTACTCTCTAATTGCTTATTTCTCTTTCTGACACTACTAAGGATAGCAGATAACCATTTTTTGAAAAACATGTTTATGTGTTCATATTCACTTGGGGACCAGAGAGCTCTGGAGCCCAACAAGGCCTGAGGGGCCCTGGCTGAGGGAGGCCACCAGCAAAATCCAGACCAGGGACATCTGATTCGGGGGCAAGGACCAGATTCTGCAGCTGGGACTCCTAAGGGAAGAGAAAGCAGAAAGCAGGGGATGGGGGACATGCAAACACAGAGACTTAGAGGCTGGTCAACGAATTTGAACTCCGATTCACACAAACTGTAAAACAAACAAAAAAACTCCACAAACACCAAAAAAAAAAACCCCACCCCATTCTGATATCTATGGACCAGCTGCAAATTTCAATGCTGACAGGATAGTTATTGATACTATAGAATTACTGTCAATTTTTAAAAGTACAATAACGGCATTGTGGGTTTGTTAAACAGAAGAGCCCTTACTGTTCAGAGACAGTACTTACTAGACGCTCACTAACGGATGTGAGGGTGGGACGTGGGGAGGATCTCCTTTTGGCCCCTACCAGAGGGACACGGAGGAGGGGCCGGAAAGCAAGTGACAGCGGTGTGGGAGGATCACGGGTCAGCAATGGTCACATGGTAGTCACCATAATTTTACGGTTCCGTCAACTTTTGTGCCTGTTAGAGAATTTCCATAATAAAAGTTAAAAAAACCCAAACACGGGGATCGAATATATGGTAGCTGAAGGAAACTGGACTTTGCGTGGTAATCACACAATAGAATATACAGATATCAAATTATAATGTACACCTGATAGTCGTATAATTGTATTAGGCATGTGAGAAGCATGCTGACGGGGTGACCCGAGGGAGGCCGGAGTTCCTTCTCTGAGGTGCCCGTGTCGACATTCTGCCTTGACACGTGCTGAGGCTGCTCCCATGCCCACACTGGGGGGGATCTGGGGGGAGTGTCCCAGGATCCTCTCTGCACGATTTTGTTATGAGTCCAGAATTATTTCAAAATAAAAAGCTAAAAAAAAGAAAAAGAAAAAAGTACACGGGGAGAAAAACTAGAGGGAACTTTAAAGCTTCAAGCGAGGTGCGATTTTTTTGTTCAGAAAACATGAGTGGAGATCAAGTGACATGACACCTTTCGGTCTGCAGTGCCAGACACCTCTGGGCAGCTTCCACGCATCCTGCCTTCCTGCCTCACGCTCAGCCCCGCGGTGCCCGGCTCAGGGGCCGCAAACCTGGCCCCTGGGAGCAGGGCCACAGCAGTGTCGTGGCCAGATCACCTTCTCCTGTGTGCAAGCAACAAGCCCCAGGCAAAGCTCGGGGTTGGGGGTGCCTCTGCCCTTCAAAGACTCCTCTGTCAGACTTCTGGTCTAGGGTTTTGGCTTCACTCAGTCGCCGGGGAGAGCGGGAAGAAATGCCTTCTCTGCACCCTGGCTTTCTGGGCCAAGTGGGTGAATACGGCTCACTTTGCAAAGCAGATGCAAGGAAGTGGGGGTCCTCATGCGTGAGCTGAGGGGTGAGCTCACTTTACCGTGACACTTTGTAACTCACTTTGTTTCCAGGGAACAAACACTATGGTGAAAGGAAACTAAGGAGTGGAATTGGCCAGATGCCAAAGGGCCGATACCGCACGAATCAGGACAGGCTGCGCCACGGAGACAGACGGTGACACGGTGGGGCCGGGGCTGCAGCAGGGGGTGGGATGTAAGGCGGCAGATTTCTGTTCTGGGTGAGAAAAACTTCTGCAAACGCACTTAGTGTCGCTGTCACTGTATCACGCACATAAAAAATGGTTTCATGCTACGAGTGTTTCACCACAGTAAAAATATAACAATGAGAAACGGAAATGAAAAGGAAGCCGCCGAGAGAGAAAGGACGTGGAAACACTGACTCTTTCTCGGATTATTTAAATCCCGTAATGACTCATGCCGAGGCACAGGACTCTTCTGGAAGTCCCCTGATAATCACAGGGCCTGGAACGATGACTCAGGTGAGCACTAAGTGGCCGCTTCTGCTCGGTGAGGCGGAGGGGTCAGGGCAGAATCACACTTATCTCCAGAGGTGATTTGTGTTTTCTGAACTGTTTCTAGATACACCTTTGGTTGGTGTCAGAACACCAGCTCTCACCAACCGGGACTAAATCTCCCTTTGAACCCGGGGGCTGCAGCCCTGGGGCGGGACTCAGTGAACTTCCTGCCTGCGGGCCGGAAAGCCCCAGCCACCAGAGGCCCAAAGCGGATCGGGGAGGGGCCGCCTCTGCTCCTCCTGGCAGCCACTTCCTGTGAGAACCCCCACCAACCCGCCCGGGAGGGCAGCCCCCCACCTCCTCCAAGTCCCCCAGGCCTAGGGATACCGAGGGCGACCTCTATTACCTGAGCTCAGCACCCTCTTGCGCTGGGCTTCCAGAATTCTCCAGGGCCAGCGCATCGGACACCAGCCTGAGGGCGCGCTCCACGTGGGATACAGCCTTCTTGACGGCCAGGAGCTCCAACTCCGAGGGGTAGATAGCAGCATGCTTGCACATGATGTGTCGGTCATCATTGGACTCCGGCCGCCGCGAAGGCTGCGGGGAGAGGTAGTCATCACGGCGGGGCTGACAGATCCCCCAGACCCAGCGGGCGGGGGCCGGGACAGTGTCAGCCCTGCAAAAGTACAGCACACGTGGCAGGTGGTCACAGGGCTGGGGGTGGGGAGCCAGGCTGAGGAATGGAGGGGACCCACAAGTGGTGACCGAGGAGGGCCCTGGGGCCTCCCCTGAGGGCTGCGGGGGGCTAGTGGGCTCCCCTGTGGTGATATTCTTACATTTCACAGCCAGAGGCTTTTCAACCAACTCAGTGGGCCTGTCCCCGAGGCAAGGTGAAAATCTAAGGTGCCTGTGTGGACAGAGAGATGCCAAAGGACCCCCAAGGGATGTGACAACCGGGACCTTAGGAAGTTAAAGCGACCACTGTGGCGGGCAGCAGGGCTGGGGCCTGGAGCTCCTATCGGTGACCAGCAATGAGGGGTGGGTGCCGCTTTAGGGGTCTTGGTACAAAACTCCACTCCTCATCCCCTGAACACTCGGATCCTAGTGAGCTTATGAGGACATCACCCGCCCCGTGGGCCACTGCCACTGGAGACATTTCAGCACACGATCACCACCCACCAGAGGTGTGGTGGTGGGTGCTCCCAGCCTGCTCATGAGGGGAGGAGGGTGCTCGCTGGGTGGCGAGTGTCCTGGGTGCTCGTCCTGGGCCTGCGTCTTCTCCTCCAGCCGCCTCCTGCACAGGTCATAGCGCCTGCATGGAAGCAAGAGGACAAGGAGCTATCAGCAGCTGCAGGACCCTTGGCCTGTTGCATTGGAGCCGGCAGCATGAGGAAGCTGTGTGGCTCCTGCTGCCTGGTCCTCAGGCTGAGCAAGGCTGGCAGCCATCGAGGAGAGGCAGCAGCCAACCGGACCTCACTGGAGCCCAAGACAAAGTCCTGCACAAATGCCCACCACGTGCCAGGGAGACGGAGGCCGCAAAGGCCAGGAGGACACAGAACAAAGGCGACTGCTGGGGAGGGAGGAGCTGGAGCCAGCGGCTGCAGCCCCAAATCTGCCCCGAGCTTCGTGCCCCAGCTCAGAGGCTGTGGCGGCTCTTCTGTGAATCAGACACCGCGTCACAAAACGCTTTGGAATTGAATTGCTCTAGAGGATGGAGGATGACATCAAATGTGTGGGACATCAGGAGACACCAGGGGTCAGGGGACACCAGGGGTTGGGGGACATGCAGACACCAAGGCATTCCTGTGAATCAGGCCCTAGAGTGCCAGCCCATGGCTGCCAGTACCATGCTATCCCTCACTTATTAGGTGACTCACACTAACTAATTAAGGCAGATCTTCGGAGTGACCTGCACACAGGGATCTGGCCAGCTGTAAAGTCCTCTGCGTCCCCACAAGTGCCGTGTCCCCTGCCCAGCTCGCAAGGCACGAGCACTGGGTCCTCAGGCATGGAGGCGACAGCAGCACCCCCACTTGAGCACGCGAGCGAGTAGAGCTTTGGAGCTCAAAGCCACCGGGGCAGAGGGCTGTCGGGGGCCTGGGAGGCGAGGACCCCGTACCGCATCTCCGCGTGCCAGCGCCGCAGCTCCTCCAGCCGCTTCCTGGTCAGCTGCCGCTGCTTCCGCCTCCTCTCCTCCAGGAGCTTCTGGACTCTGCTGCTGGGCTTGATGGCGATCGGAAGGTCAGGGTTCACTTTTTTCTAGAAGGAAAGGAAGGGCTGTGAGATCGGAGACTGTCACTTAGAAGAGAATGCCAGGGTGTCTCTGGACCCAGGGAGAGGCCCCACGACTGACACCCTTCTGCTGGATTTAGACAACGGTTGGGTTTCAATACCCCAGAATCTTAACACTCCTCATCCCCAAAAGCACTGGCAGGAAAGGAAACTAGCACGGGGGACAAAACGCAACTGACAGTCTGAGTGACAGACGCGAAGCCTGCCAACAACGAAAGCTGAACCCCGTCTACAAGTCTGACAGGGCAGCCGAAGGCGCTGCGCACCACCGGCGAGTAACTGCGGCGATCACTGAATAGTCTCTGAAAGTTCAACAAAAAATGCTCATTTCCAATCAAAATAATTCAGGGCAAACACCATCTGCGTGAAATCCAGCCATGTATAACTCGATAGCATTGCCTTCATTCACTGAACTTCGTTTTCAGCACTTAATTTCATCATTCAGAAAGCGGAGTGCTGTCTAAGGATCATTTGGTAGCGGAAATGACCCAGTGTCCACCAACAGGTGACTGATACGCAAGAACATCGGTCACGGGAACATCACTCGGCCACGGAAAGGAGGGAGGTGCTGACACTCGCCACAACCTGGAACATGCGGCGCTCAGTGAGACGCCGGACACCGGGGCCTCACAGCGTGTGAGTCCATTTATGTGACATGTCCAGAACAGGTACATCCTCAGGAAGTGGGTTAGTGGTTTTAAAAAGAGGCTGGGGGAGGAAATGGGGAGTGACTGCTAATGGGGAGGAGGCTCCTTTTTGGGGTGATGAGAATGTTTTGGAATTAGAGGCGATGGCTGCACAGCTCTGAATATAATGAAAGCCGTCGAACTATATATTCTGTGTGGGTGAATTATGTGGTGTGTGAATGACACCTCGGTGAAGCTGCTAAAAAGGGAGGAAATACCCAAAAGCCACAGTTTATCATTGAGGAGAGTTACACGTGTGTGCTGTGCGCAAGCGCACTCACGGCCCGACAGCAGGTGTTTAAACACAAGTGTGCACACGTGCCCTGGCGAATGTAAAAGGGAGGCCTCGGGTGGGCAGCTGAGGGCCCCTCTGGTGGAGCCGAGGGCGCCCGAGGGCCCATGGGAATGCCTTGGCCACACAAAGCCAGCCCCTCTGGGTAGGAAAGGGCCCCTGCTGGCCCTTGGAGCCCTCGGCATTGGAGGCCAGGCTTGCTGAAGGTGGCTTGGCCCGGATGGCCCGGATGGCCCACTGCCCTCTGCAGCAGTGACCCGTCAGCACAGGACCCCAGCCCCTCTTCAGCCCACAGACTCAACCCTGGGGTCCCCACACATTATCCCATGGGGACACAGTTCAGACTGGGCATAGCACTCCCCACCTCCGCTAGCACCTGCCAGCTTGGGACCTAGGCAGAGGCCCTAGGAAAGAAAAAGAGCACGTATCAGGTACAAAAGAACCAACACGGGGAGTCGGGAAAACGAGCCCTGTTTGTGTGCGCATCACATCGACCATCCGACGCGCGCTCCAGAGCTCCCTCAGCATCGGCAACAGGCGGCTCGGAGTTTTAAAACCGAACGTTCACCTGCAAGAAAGGACATCAACCGGCAAGGTCAGCTCTGGGTTTTCCGCTCTGGTCGCCAGGCCAGGCTGTGGAAATGCAGTTTGGACTCGGCCTGAGAGGCCCCTGGGGCCTGGAGCTACTGCCGGAGGCGCGGAGTCGCAGAGGGAATGATGCGATGCGTTTTGAGCCGGGGACAGAGAGGAGGCACGAGTCCACCCCCACCCACCGAGTGGGCCACACGCAGCAGGGCGCACCTGGTACTGCAGCCGGTGCCGCCGGCCCCTCACGTGCAGGTCCCTGGCGTTGGGGTCGTTGAGGCTGCACTCACACAGCTTGCAGTGGAACCGGGTCACTCTGCCTTCCTCGTTGCACACCTGACACACGAAGCTCAGCTGAGCGCTGGCCGCCGGGCAAAGGGCACCTCCCTCCACCCTCCGAGGGCATGGAGCCTTCCTGGGGAGTGTCCGGTCTGCTGAGTTATTCTACGGGCGGCTTTCAGAGGAGACAACATGCCCTCCCATGCTGGAGTTCAACCCTGCCACGGTCGGCCCCATTCCTCCTCCCCTGAGCTCAGCCGCCCCCCATCAATGCCCTGCCCCGCGGTGCTCCCGCCTTCGCCCTGGCACAGTCCCTGCCCATCCTGCACCCTTCCGATTGCTGCGGCTGTTGTGGGTCTCGTCTCCTCAACTAGTAAATGACCGGGGGTCCAGCGCAGGCGTGTTCTATCTAGCGTGGTTATTTTGCAAGGAACAAAACAGAAGATGCTGAACTTGATTGAACAAAAGCACGAAAATGAAAACAGAAGAAATGCTGATGCCGCACTTCCTTCGAGCCACAGGCAGTCTGGAAGCTCTTGGGGAGGCTGGGAATTATGGACGTGGCCACAAGTTTCAGAATTTGAGTTCTAGAGGCGGTTTAGGACCAGCCCGCGGGGCCACTGCTCGGGCTCTGGGCATCTGAGCGATGGCCGTGTAGGGGCATGCTGGCTCTTACTGTCCCCAGAAGCACGCACCTTGGGGTGCCGCAGTCACCTAGCCTTCCAGGGTACGGCTTCCTCCTTCCACCTTCCTTCCCACAGGAAGAGGGCTGCCTAGTAAGATATGCCTCTGCCTGCCTCCAGCCTTCCTTCTAGGATCTGAAATCCAGTGCCTGGACCTTTCAGGAAACTCTGCATGACTCGCTGGTCTGCGCGGGGATGGGTACGTGACTGTCCGCTGGAGAACTGCGTTGAGGGTTCGAAGCCTGACTCCAGCAAGGCCCTTCTCAACCAGAGCCCAGCGGAGAAAGGCACATGCTGCCAGCCCGACAGTGGGATGGTGGCAGACAGAGTTACCTCTTCCACATAACCTGGGCCCACTGGCTGAGAGTCACAGCAGCTTCCAGAAGCTTCCGAAGAGCCTCCTTGGCTGGGCAATTCTCCTGGCCCCTCTGATTTCCGGTGTGCTGGTTTCCCCTCTGGGGGTTTGCGGCCCGCTGCCTGCTGCTCAGGGGTTCCTGGAAGAAAGAACTGCATTACTTGTAACCTGCTCCAGCCAGAAACCACAGCCGCTTCCAGTCTGCAGGTGTGAAGGGCAGAATGCAATGCGAACCAGAATCTCCTGCAGCCCCTTCCACCCCCACATGACATCAGCTGGTTGGGTCCACAGTCCCACAAGACCTCTCGCGCCAGCCTGGGTCACAGCTGAGAGAACGAGGCCCGCACAGCGCTTGGTGCCGATCTGAACTCGTCTGTAGCGGGGTCCTGGCTGCAGGCCCCTGGCTGAGGGACTCCCACGGCACAGACTCGGCAGTCCTTAGTGAATCGACGATGAGACAGCAGGTGGACCAAGGCTCACTGGCCACCTGGTCCCATGAGACAGGTCCACAGAGCCTCAGGAGGGAGCTGTTTCTTTCTATGTTTTACTTTTTAAATAAATTTATTTACTTAAATTAGTTTCAAATATATAGTACATTGGTTAGACAGAGAGCTCGTTCTTTATTATCAAAAGTGCTTTAAGATTTTATCTTCAATATCATGTGCTCATTCAAAAAACTGCTGCTGAGGCTAAAAATAAAATAAGCACCTCCTCTTCCCACACAAAGCGTGTGGTGCAGAGCAAAGCCAGTCAGAGATCTGGGTTCGAATCCTGCCCCCACCGTTTATGGGGTGACCCAGGTCAGGTGCCACCTCACCTTGGCTTTTCCATCTGCAAATTGAGACTAACGACAAAATCTACTTCAGAGGCGTGGCGGGCCTGCTGGGCAATGCACGTGGGGCGGCTGCGGACTGAGCGCGGGCATACGATCCCGGCTATGACCCCCTCGGTATATGTCACGCGGCAGCCATTACTTCCCGCAGCTCACAGCCAATGCGCCCCGCACCTAAGGGAAGGCAGGGCTGGAAGGGGCTGCAGGGAGCCCGCCTTAACCTTGCGGTGCCCACGTAACCATAACTGTCAGAGCAGTTTGTGAAGAGCGCTGCTTCCAGCGCATGGGTGGTGGTGGCCCAGGGCACTCACTCCTTGGGCCCAGCACAGGGCTCTGGAGAGTCACCAGTGCTTGGGTGGGTCCCAAGCTCCATGGGAATAAATGGTGCTGCTACCCCACTGGTTCTGCTAAGGCTTCGGGTCCAGAGGGTGTGAACCAGAGGCAGCAGAGCATATCCCATCTGGCAGGAACATAGGAGAGAAGGCACGCCCCGCCCCCCGCCCCCTAGTCATAGCTTAGTCCAGTTGGTCCCCAACCTTTTGGCACCAGGGACTCCTGCTCCCATGAGAATCTAACGCCTGATGATCTGAGGTGGAGCTGAGGCGGTGATGCCAGCTCTGGGGAGCGGCTGTAAATACAGATGAAGCTTTGCTCGCTCATCTGCCGCTCACCTCCTGCTGTGCAGCCCGGTTCCTAACAGGCCACGGACTGGTACCAGTCCGCAGTCTGGGGGTTGGGGACCCCTGGCTTAGCTCCTCCTCGCATGAGAATCTAACGCCTGATGATCTGAGGTGGAGCTGAGGCAGTGATGCCAGCTCTGGGGAGCAGCTGTAAATACAGATGAAGCTTTGCTCGCTCATCTGCCGCTTACCTCCTGCTGTGCAGCCCGGTTCCTAACAGGCCACGGACTGGTACCGGTCCGCAGTCTGGGGGTTGGGGACCCCTGGCTTAACTCCTCCTGAGAAGATGTGCTGGCTTACACACATGCACGCAGGTTAGCTAGGCAATCACTTCTCTATCTCAGGGTACGGGCATGTGAACCCAAAACACATACCCACATGCTTGTTCTTCGAGGGCGCCAGTCTCTTGGTCGGCTCTGGCCTGCTAGGGGTATGCACGCTGCAGCTGGCAGGGGCAGCGGGCTTGGTTGAGGCCACCGGGGGGCTATCCATGGTGAGGGGTGCCTGCTTCTTGGTACAGGTGGTCTGGAATGAGCTGGAGGTCCCTGGTGCCGGTTCTATGGTGGGGATGGGCTTTCCCAATTTGGTGTGCAGCTTGAAGACCTGGAACGAACCCACGTCCCCTTGTCAGGGTCACCTGCAGGCCCCATCGACCTTCCTTGAGAGGCAGGAAGAACACCACAGTGGGTGTGGGAGGGCTGGCAACTTGTGGCAACCGTGTCTGGGGACCCCACCCACACCCCAGCTCCCAGGAACATGCCTTCCGCTCTCTCAAGTATCACTCTGTCTGGAAAGGCCCCCACCAGTCACGCACATGCAGGCCCTAGAATACTCCGACACTCTGTGCAGGCTAACACCAATCCCCTTCCTCCAAACTCCCCTGCCTTCAGCTGGGGGGCCGGGCCATTCTCTGCATCCCCAGCACCAACCCAGTGCCCACCCTGGACAGGGACAAAGCATGTGTGGACGGGTGCATGGAAAGGGGCCGCCTGTTAAGATGTATGCGTGTACGTGTCCATGGACATACGTCTATGTTCTAAAAACACATGTATCCATGTCCATGCACACGAAAGCACCTAGTGTTTGGTCACACCCCATCCTCGATAGTCTTGACATTAAAACCTACTATTTTCAATTTATTTATTTAATTTTATCTGTTTTTAAAAAGGAGGACCCCAAATGGAATACATCATTTGACTTCATCGATGTTCAAACTCGTTCACGCAAAAATGTACTCGGACCTAATGCCAAGAGCAGTGTCTCAGGGCCTGGGCACAAGCCCTGTACTGCTTTCTGCTTCTGTCCAGAGCAGGGAGGACTTGCATAACGGGGACAAGGTGTCTGGCTTCCGGGGAAGGAGGACCCCTGGGCCTTGCACGGAAAGCTTCCTCTCATCAGTGGCTCCCCCCTCTGGTGTCACTGGATGCCCCTCTGGGTCCCGGGTGTGAAAGGCTGGGACTGCTCCCAGGGCCACCCTGCCTGGACCTGTGTGGGGCTCCTACCTTCTGGTGCCTGGCTCCCCGGATGTGGGCGGCGTAGGCCTCCGCCCCGGTGCAGGACACGGCACACAGGTCGCAGCGTAGCTTGGCCTGCACCCCGCACGGGCTGCCATTGGGCTGCATGCCCGCCTGCTGAGCTGCCTCTTTCTTCTTGTGCTTCTGCCCCTCCAGGTGCTCACGGTACGTCTGCTGGCAGAGCGTGAGAGTAGGAGTGCTGGGGGTGTGCCCGCTGGGCACCACACTGTCCCTCGCAGATCAACGGCGAGGGATGTGTGAGCCGAGGGGAGCCTGCCACCCCCAGCCCTCCTCTTGCGGCCTGAGATTCGCGCTCTGCTGCATCAGGCCCAGCCTCAGACTCAGACGCTTTGCCCAAAAGATATAAGGTCTTTCTTTTATTTTTCCCCTTAAAAATCGATGAGTTTTAAGCTAGCATCCTTAAAGAATCACACAGGCAGTTTTGGGTGTTGCTGTGAACGAAAATTCTGGCTTTTCAGAATGTGACCTCAGAGACCGAGCCAGGACGCATGCGACGCTTCCCTGTTAGAACGCCACTGAGAAGCCGAGGGACTCCACACAGAGGGGCTGCCAGTGGGTCACAGGCCTACGCATCCTGCACCACTGGGCCCAAAACATCTGGCTGCATCTGCAAATGACCAGGCTCTTATGTGGCGTCCCAGACTCCTCTCTTGGACCCTTAAGACGGCAAGCTGCAGCACACACACAAACCAGGCCCGCTAGACAGTGACTCTGACCGCGCCCCGAGTCAACATTCGCAGAACAAACCGTCTCTGGAAAAGACACACGGCTATTTCTGGGGGCGGATGGGCAGTGGGAGCGGGAGGGGTGCTCGCTGGAATGGAGAAAGCTCGTGAGCGTTTGACCTGAGCACAGTGTGGATACACACGCACGCAATGAAAGCCTATGCAACACAGAAAAGCATGGAATAACACAAGGCAAGGTGCCAGCAGTAAAGTACTTCATTCAGGTGGTGAGAGCACAGGTTCTTGCCTGCTTCTTCGCACACGTGGTTGTAGCTAACCACACGGCTTTGACAAACCACGAAAAATCTGATTTCCATCTTCATCCCTAAAACTATTCCGAGTTCCTCGGGTTACTGACCCGCTCTGAGCCCCGGGCCTTCCCCGGCCACACAGAGATGATAACAAATAACAACGCAGTTTGATGCATGAAATAACTAGGAAATGCTTCCCAGAGCTCTGAGCTTAGAGCAAGGGCAAACGTTTGAAGTTTTGTCATCTTCCCACCTGGCTCCCGCCATAAACACACATTAAGTGTGTGATGAGACAATTGTAGGGAGGAGTGTTAGAAAGAAGCCTCCTGCTGCCCCTGAGCCCCGATGGCTCCCGCCGAAGCTCGAGGCCACCCTGCTGGCCCTCACTGGGCTAGCACAGAGACCTATTGTCAGCTGTGTGGCCTTGATTTGGAGAACTTGCTTAGACAGACACCCAGAGAAAATGCAGAAGTGCGCCAGCCAGGCCACAGGGAGGCCATGCTGACACGGAGTCCCTTCCAGACACAGATCTGGAGACCACACGTGGCTGTTTTGACATTCACGGGGCTGTGAGACAGCATGGGGGGGAGGGGCGGTCGGGAGGGGGTGGGTAGAAAAGGGCAGCGAGATGGACTCTTTGCTGGAAACGCTCAGGATCTTGGCAGTGATGGCAGATTCACGAGCTTCCCCAAGTGATAAATTCACACAGAATACACACACACACGTGTACACACACATGCATACAAATGAGTACAAGTAAAGCTGGGGACATCTGAATGAGAACAGACTGTGTCAAAGTCCAAATCCTGGGTACAATTCACAAAATGTTAGCATTGGGGGAAGGGTACATGGGACCTCTGTGTTTCTTGTTGTAACTGCATGTGAACCTACAACTATCTCAAAAAAAATTCTAATTTAAAAAGTGCTATTAATATTAGCAAAGCTGGGGATATCAAGAATTGGCGTTCCCAGGGCACATCGAGTACATGCCAGACGCCATGCTGAGTGGTGGCGCTGGGGTAAACCCTGTCCCATGGGGAGACTGAGGCTCAGAGAAGCTACGACGCCTGCTTGGGCGACGATGTGAGGCGGGGCTGGGCCGTGAGCCTGGGGGACTGGCTCCTAAGCCCACGTCCCATCCCCTTAGACAACGCGCACACGCGCACCCACGCGCATCCGAGGCCCTGCCACAGTGAGCCAGTCTGCCTGGGCCCTCGCTGCTGAGGAGGGGCGCTGACTACCTCTCCCGCCCCAAAGCAAGGGAAGCCCCCTCGTCCCGGGGTTTGAGACCACACATCAGCCGACAGCTGGCACTGTGCTGCTCTCGTTTCTTTCACCCAGTCACCAGTAGGGCCATCTTAAGGCGACCTGACACACCGCTTGACGTCGCAAGTTTAATACAGGCCTCTTTGGGGCGGGCAATGACCCTGACTTCTGGTTGGCCACAGGGGACAGAGGAGGGCTCTCCCAGCCCATGGCAGGGAGGAAGGCCCTGGGGCCTGCCCAGCTTGGGCACAGGGTGCTGACCTGGGGACCAGCGCAGCTGATCTTGCAGATGTCGCAGTAGTGAAGTGGGGGCTGCCTGGGCCCGCCTTTGGGTTTCGGAAGCTTGCTAGGAACCAGTGGCTTCCTGGCGGAGCTGCTGGCAGGACTGGCACTGGGGCTGCTCCCTGAGCCACCCCACAGGGACGAGTCCAGGGTCTTTGGGGGTGGAGGAGGCGGGGGCGGAGGCTGCATCTGTGGGGGTAGCAGTGGAGGGTAGTACAGACTGGCTGCTGAGTACAAGGTCACGTCACAGCTCGGGTAGTTTGGTCCTAAGAAGCGGAGAGAACGAGAGAGGGGGATAGGCTATGGGCTGGTTTCTAGGATGACGTTCATTTTGGCTGCAGAGAGAGTAACCGGCTCCGCCCCCATGCACGCTCAGGGAAACCGTAGGCTTACCTGTGTACGGGGTGGAGGCAGAGCTGTAGGAGGGCAGGGTGGACACGGAGGCCACGGGCTGGACGCTGGTCGCTAGCGGGTAGGTGTAACTGGAGGATGGGGCACTGGCTGGCTGTGCCATCCCAGTAGTGGGAGCCTGTTGTGGGGACTGCGCTTGGCTGTACCCACCGCTGGGCTGGCAGTAAGCTCCTTTGGTCTCTGGAAAGCAAGTAGAGACCCTCTGAACAGCCACACTTCACCACCGTCCCCAGGAAACAGAGTGAGAGGCACGTTCCCTGTGACCACTGCAACCAGCTTCTCCAGCCACAGGGGGCCAACACAGGCCTCCACTTGTGAATGGGCCCCAGGCGCAACTGGCCATGGATCCCCAGAATGTCTAACCCTGGGTTGGAGGCCGGGACGCCGGGCCTCTGGGACAGAGCTCTGATCCCGGCAGGGATTGGTGTGACTTGTGTCCACTCTCCTTTCTAGGCTCTTCCTCTTCTGTGGCACGCGTGTAAAGGGGTGCATGTGTATGCGAAGTGTTCCCTATCTCTTTCATGTCTGGGAGCCAAGCCCTCAGAACTTATTCTCTCTACCCTGGGAAAGCTTCCTTGGAAAACACTCAGCTCCATTTAGTTCTGTCTCGCTGTCTCTCTCACGCACAAGCCCATCCGGATCTCCTATGACTCTGGAATGTTTAAATGGGACTTGAATGCAGTGACTCCCGTGCCCTCGCTCCTCCCACCCTCTAACCCTATAGAGACCCACCTGGCTGGCAGAGTGTGGCCGTGGCAGGGAACTGAGGCTGGCTCGCAGCAGGCAGGTGATACTGCTTGTTCTCATAGCTCCTGGCAGCTGGCGATGACCTGCAGCCATAATTGTCCTGAGAGGGGGTTTCCGTGGGAGAGACACAGAGAGCAGGGAAAGGAGTGAGGCGTGCAGCGGGGTCCTTGCAGGGTCTGGTTCTGCGCTAAGAGCAGCAAGGAAGACGGCGGGATTCGGGTTTGCAGGGGGATTTGGGCTGTGGGGTGGATCAGGGAGTACACGGGGGCAAGGACGAAAGCACAGAGGCCAGCAGGCGGCTCTGGGAGGGTGGCAGGGAGAAGTCCGAGGCCTTGTGGAAGCAACGGTGAGAGGAGGGAGGAAGGGGGCGGAGCCAACTGGAGGGGCTTAGCCAACCGGGTGGTCTGTGGTGCCATTGACGACCCGACTGGGGAGGCTGGGGATGGGGAGACCACGTGCAGCGCGGGGAGCATTGGTGATTCCAAGTGGAAGTGCAGTGGCCTGATCTGTGGCCCAGAGCTCCAAGGTGGGGAAAGTGGCATCATCCACACCAGAAGCGCCAACAAGGACAAGTCACCTCCACAGGCGGGGACGACAGCATGAGGAGGGTGGGCACGGGCCGCCCACCACACTCTTCCATTCGACACCCTCAATCTTTCAAGGAAGGACAGGTGCTGGTCAAGGAGACAAGTCACCTCCACAGGCGGGACGACAGCATGAGGAGGGTGGGCACAGGCCGCCCACCACACTCTTCCATTCGACACTCTCAATCTTTCAAGGAAGGACAGGTGCTGGTCAAGGAAAGGCCAGCTGATACCTGGTAGGAGTGAGGAGTGGCGGGCACAGGGGCAAGTCCGCTGCCATAATCGAAGTCCTGGACGGAGTGGGGCTGGTATCCGCCGTACCCTGCTGGGCCATCGGACCTGGTTGGCTGGGTGGCCGTGGGGGGAAGTGGCAGGGTCTCAGTGGGGCCCATTCCGGGCACCAACTGCGCATCGAAGCCGGCTCCAGCAGCAGGGAGGGGGAAAGCCATGGGAGGCTGGACGCTGGAACCACAACAAACACAAAAGCCCGGCTGCATTAGCTGGGGCTTGACAAAGAGCTCGAGCTGAGCACATCACTCACAGCGGACACTGCCGTCAGCTGCCTCAGATGCCCGCATTCATTCAGTGCTTCCTGCAGCTGCTAACGCTTGCTGAGACTTTACGAGCACAGGCACCGTTCTAAGCTCTTTTCGTGAATGAATGCAATCTCCCAACGACCCCGTGAGGCAGGGACCATCCTTGTCTGTTTTACAGAAAAGTAAACTGAGGCACAGTGAGTGGCAAAGTCAGGCCTGAACCCATGTTGAAGACTTCTCAGCTCATCCACATGGGCGGCAGTCCTTTTCTCGACGGCGAGATTCCACAAGGAAAGTTGGAGTTGAAGGGTAGTTTTAAACTGAAGAACAAACGAGTGGACCCGCCCGATCATTAGAATAGGGAAGATCGGTTACCACCCAACTAAAAACTCGTTACTAACGAGAACCAGCTTTTATGGACGGCTTGTTCTGTGGGAAGCACAGCTCTGAGGCCTTTGTCTACATCACCTCGTTCACGCCTCAGCACCTGTAGAGAAGGTGCCAGCGCAGTCCATCCATCTGCCTACCTGTCCTCCCTGTCTAGGCGAGGGGACTCTCTGAGGATCAGTGACACGTGTCAAATGCTTGGGATCTTTCTGACCCCAGCGCCACACACTTTGCTGCATATTGGCCACTGGTAGAGTCCTCAAATATAAAAGCCCAGACGTCAGGAAGAATCATCAAAGATTTTAGAACAATACCAATAAAGGTCATATAGGAAAGTTCTTGAACATATCCCCCTCAGATAAGCGGGGGCCTACTGTATTGATTTATAAAATTAAGACATTTACACATGTGGCATGCAGGTTTCCATTTATACTTTTGCCCTGAGCCTCCCAAACTTAAAGTCTGATTATTTACTTGTTCAAATGCATTACAATTCATTCGCCTAGTTTCCTAATGGTAGACATTTACATATAAGTATCTATTGCTGAGTTAAAAATCATCCTCGATGATGTGGCTGCAAACGATAATAACCATTTATCATCTTCACAGTTTCTGTGGGTCAGGGTTTCGGGAGTCGCTTGGCTGGGCTCGGGCTCAGGGTCTTTATGAGGCTGCAGTTAAGTCGCCGCTGGGCTACACCATCCAAAGGTTCAACTGGGATGGTGTGATCTGCTTCCAGGACCTTCCCTCCCCTGGCTGGCAACTTGGTGCTGGCTGCAGGAGGCCTCAGTCTCTCCTTTAGTGGGCTTTTCTCAGCACTGCTTGAGTGTCTTACAACATGGTGACTAGCTTCCCTCAGGGTGAGAGGTGTGTGTGTGTGTGAGAGAGAGAACCAGCTGGAAGCTGTCCTTGTTATGACCTAGCCTCAGACATCACATGGCATAACTTCTGCCATGTTCCATTAGTTAGAAGTGAATCACTCAACCCATACTCGAGGGGAAAGGATTAGGCCCCACCTTTTGAAGGGAGGAGTATCATGAATTTGTGGTCTTATTTTTAAACCACCGCGTGTTATTTCCAATTTTCTGCTGTTCAAACAATGCTACAAAGTATTTTCTGTGTAAGTGCTACATGTGCCTTCTTGTGCCAGCTTCCCCTCGTGGCTTCGTGTCCCATGCCACGCACTCCAAACTGGGCACAGCTGAGCGGAATGGGGCCAGGCTGGCTGGCTTAGACTCATCAAGATCTACCTTGGAGCTGAGTCACACAGGAGAGGCATGGACCCAACGCAAACTGGCAAGGAAAACGGAAGGGATAGACTTTGGGAGGACGATGGAAGGCCCAACAGGGGGTCTGATCTGCCTAAGCTGCGAGGGCAGAGACACTCGGTCTAAGTGTGCATGCACAGCTAGAGCTCTCTGCTCTGAGACCTGCCACTGCCGCTGCGTCAGGAGCTGCCAGTACAGCAGCGACGCTGAGCAGCCCTGTAGGGGCTCCCCTCCGCCCTGGCTTCCTTCCATCCTGACGGCCTCCACCTCCTGGTCCTGGAGCCCCAGCCCACAAAGCGGTGCCAACTGAGAACACAGAGGCAAAGACCTTGGGGTGGAAGGGAGTCTCGTCCTTCAGCCGCTGAGGGCCCTGAGGAGGTACAGACAACCTCGGGGCTGTCTCCACCTGCTCCAGTGGTGACCTAACTCAGGTCACAAGCTTTGTCTCCACCTGGTGGGGGCCCCACCTAAGGCACCCAGTGCGGGCAGACGGCTGTTGCCCTTTTCCATGCCAGGAGGAACATACATATAGCCCAGTGTCTAGGACAGGGGCTTCTCGACCCAGGCACTGCTGACATTGGGCTGGACCACTCTCTGGGCTGGGGCCATCCTGGGCACTGTGACCTCCAACCACTCAATGCCAGGAGCACTCCCAGTCGTGACGACCACAGATGGGAACCGCTGGCCTAGGACAAGCTCAGTCCCAGAGCAGCAGCTGGGCAGCGCCAGAGGCTGATCCAGACCCTGATCTGGAAGGATCACCAGGACACTGTGGGGTGCCTCTGACAGAACGTTGGTGAATGTAAATTTAAAAGGACACGATTTGTTGCACATGACCCTGAATGGTGTTCTGTGCCCTGAAGCTTGAAGACCACGTACGCTAGACTGAAGGGAGGTACGAAAGGAGAGTCTACGTGCAGAGGGCTGAGGATCTAAGCGCTTACGTGTGAGGGAACCCAGAGACTGCGGTGGCAGAGTGCGGGTGCTCTGCGTGCCTGCAGGGCGATTCCCACCAGAGTCACGAAACATCACAGCTGGGGGCAGACTGGTTGGCTGTGAGGCGTACAGGGTCAAGGTCAACATCAGCTTTCAGGTCAGTGTGGGACCGCGAGGCGCCCGTGACCTCATCAGGGGTCAACCCCCACTCTCATCTGTGGGAGTGGAGAGCCTCTCCTGTGCAATAGTGGAGATGCGGGGAGAGGGGCAGGGGAAACTGAGTCATGCCATCTGGAGGAAGGATGGGTGTGCTGACAGCCCAACAGGTAGCAGGAGGATGCCCAACCCTGAGGCTGGAAGGCTGACTAGAATTTCAGAGGGTCGGGGCTCGGACTAGACTGAGACAAAGGCCTGGCACAGGCATCGGGTTGTGGGAAGGCACGAAACTGACAGGGAAACTCCTGTGTGCTGAGGGACAGAGGATGTGAGGGGTGACAGGAGGCTGGACGGTGGGCTCGGGCTCTCAGATGCTAGGCAGAACCTGAGTTTCATCTAGTAAGCAACGGGGAGTCACAGACGTGTCTCTTGCCAAGATCTGACCTGTTTTAGGATGCTGAGGTGGTGCTATAAGCTGAATTGTGCTCC